TTAACTTAGTAGCTGGGGTACTTTGTATTATTATTAGTACTTTGTATTATTATTACCAGCTACTAACTAAGTTAATTAACTTAGTAGCTGGTAATAATAATACAAAGTACTTAACTTAGTAGCTGGTAATAATAATAGAAAGTACTTAACTTAGTAGCTGGTTAATAACAATAAAAACTTTGTAATTTCCATTAAAGACGATATTACTCACAACGAAACCCGAAATCAGTTGTCAGTTTATTAGCTTGACGTAGTTTTATTGAATAATTTTCCAGAAATCAAAGACTTGATCATAAATAAATCTACCCTTACCTATACCACCACACGTCCCAATACGAAAAAAGGTTACGTCTCCACACTGGGCGTGGTACATCAACTTAATGACCTCGTGCAGCATGATGGATACAGAAGGAATGCCCATTCCATGCTATGGAAAGACAAACATAGAAGGAAAATAAACATTGAAGTACAAAATGTAGTAACGTTATATTGTTACTGCTAATAGTAACGTTACCGTGGTTCTGTATGTAGTAACGTTATATTGTTACTGCTCATAGTAACGTTTACCGTGGTACTGTATGTAGTAACGTTATATTGTTACTGCTCATAGTAACGTTTACCGTGGTACTGTATGTAGTAACGTTATATTGTTACTACTTATAGTAACGTTACCGTGGTTCTGTATGTAGTAACGTTATATTGTTACTGCTCATAGTAACGTTTACCGTGGTACTGTATGTAGTAACGTTATATTGTTACTGCTTATAGTAACGTTTACCGTGGTCCTGTATGTAGTAACGTTATATTGTTACTACTTATAGTAACGTTACCGTGGTTCTGTATGTAGTAACGTTATATTGTTACTGCTCATAGTAACGTTTACCGTGGTACTGTATGAGTAACGTTATATTGTTACTGCTCATAGTAACATTTACCGTGGTCCTGTATGTAGTAACGTCATATTGTTACTGCTTATAGTAACGTTTACCGTGGTCCTGTATGTAGTAACGTTATATTGTTACTGCTTATAGTAACATTCACCGTGGTCCTGTATGTAGTAATATTTATGTGTTTTGATAATTTTCAATTATAATACAGAGTTGGGGGTTAGCCACTCCTCTCAATATTCCGTAATGGAGGACAGAAAAGTTACTCCTATTTTTTTTGCCTAAAAAATACCCAACCTAACCAATACTTACACTGATTGATAAAACTGGTCCAACCTTAAACATGGAGTAACGGTAGGAATATCTGCTTATATCTTCCAGAACTGTACCAGTTGGTAGTTTGATGTTCAGCTCCTTTTGGATGAAACGTGCGAAGCTCTCCATTCGTTTTGGTGTTCCTCCCATGCACACAAACTGTCCAGAGAAAGCAGACATCCGTTTACTTGCCAGGTGGATAAGGCGCTCGACTCACAATCTGAGGGTCGCGGGTTCGAATCCGCATCCCACCAAACATGCTCGCCCTTTCAGCCGTGGGGGCGTTATAATGTGACGGCCAATCCCACTATTCGTTGGTAAAAGAGTAGCCCAAGAGTTGGCGGTGGGTGATGATGACTAGCTGCCTTCCCTCTAGTCTTACACTGCTAAATTAGGGACGGCTAGCGCAGATAGCCCTCGTGTAGCTTTGCGCGAAATTCCAAAACAAACAAACCGTTTACTTGAGTTTATTTGAAGTAACATAAGACATCTTTATTGTACAAAGGTGATTGTATATAATAAAAGGGTTTTATTGGATATCTCAAGATATTG